AAGTTGAGCAGCTCTAATGTGCAGCTGTTGTGTTAGAAATAAACCGCTGATTGATCTGATAAAATAAATAAACAGTTTCCCGCTAGATTCCAACACTTTTTTTTAACATCCTAAGTTTCACATGGACCCAATTGCTCCATTTATTTATTTTTTTTAAAGTTATTTTTTGGCCTTTCTGCCTTTATTTGACAAGACAGTAGAGAGTGAGACAGGAAAGTGGAGAGAAGAATTGGGGAAGGACCTGCAGCAAATGGCCATGGGCTGGATTTGAACCCATGACCGCTGCGTCGGGGACTGTAGCCCCTGTACATGGGTCGTCAGGTCAACCAGTTGAGCTGTAGCGGCGGCCTCACCATTGGTCCATTTTGTTCAGAAAAAGCGCACTTTAGACGCCACCTTTTATGTGAAGTCTGAGGTGGAAAGCCTGGCTAATAAAGAACGTAGATAACCACCTGTGATGCCCGTTATCTAACTACTGGGGTTTTAGGTTTTGTCTAGCCGGCTTACACAAAGAAAGCCTGACTATGTCAAGCTTGCCTTGTTGTCTTACACTCCTCTGTTCTAGTCGCTGCCACATTAAGGACCCTGTTTAAGTTTCCATCTCAGAATGGATGACTTCCAACACAGCTAAACAGCAGAACGAGACCAAAAGAGTGGAGGAGAACTTTGTGAGGGGAGTATCTTGTTCACACATGCCTCCTCCCTCCCTCACTCCTCCCTCTTTATCTGCCTCCCTCCCTCCGTCGGCAGCATTACCAGTCGTGGTGACTGGGAGGAGAAGAGCCAGACATGCAGCAGCCACTCACTCATTCAGCCCATTGTTTTCTCCACGCTCACAATTTCTGCTGCACTTCTTTTGTGTGACGAGACTCTTCGGGAAAAGACGTTTTCCTGTGTTTTGGCGACGCTTGAAATTCATCAATTTTTCTAACTTGCCTCCTGTGTTTTTGTATCACACTCTGATCCTGTCATAACCACACTCTGGCTGCTGAGTGTTGGGAGTCGTGAAGATTGCCGTTGTGCCTCTGCTGCCAGGTATTTGGTGAAGAAAAAAAAGGGAGTTCTGTGTGAAATTAGACTTTCAGTGGAGCTCTGAAGTGGGAGGAACCTCGGAGGATGGTTTGACTCGGAGGAGAGAGCGATCTTCTGTGGTGGAGCGGCATCTTCTCTGCTGCAAAGAGGAAGAAGTTTAGAGGGAGGAGAAGGAAGAAGAAAACCCTCAAGTGTTGGAACTGAGAGCTCAAGACTTCACCGTCATGGCGGGGATGTATGGATGCTTTAAGGGCCGGAAGTAAGTTTCAGTCATCAAAATATTCCCTTTAGTATTTCAACACCTTCTCCTCACGTTGTTGCTCATCAGCGTTGCTTCATCAAACTGCTCATTCATAATCTGTAAAACCCTGTCACCGGACGTGGGTGTCGTTTGGCTCCTTAACAGGATTCATCATTGTCGACACATAATTCTTTCTTAATGGAGACCGCTGACTGCGACTTTTACCACAACTTGTGTTCACATTAATACGCTCTGATGCTGTAAATACTTTTACCACATGAGGTCCACAGTGTAAGCGAATGCCCACAGAAGTACAGTGCATCTTAAAGGAGTTGACACAGCCTCTCTTTTTGCTGAAGTCTCATCAAACTGTTGTTTCTCTTTGTTTATTGAGACAGTTGACGGCTTGTAGGTGGCTCTGACAGTCAGCTGTGTGGCTGATTTTAACTGGAATGATTAGTCAGAAAGTCCCAGAACCAAACGGGCTTTTGTCTTTGGGTGCATGCATGCATGAGAATCTGACGGATGAGCAAGATTTCCTGTAAATTTCCTTGGCACAGGTGTTGTTGCTCAACTGGATATGTTAGACTTTCTCTCTCTCGTTTAAATCTGAGTGCATGTTTCTGTTCTTGCTGATGGAAGTCCTCGGTGATTTTAATGCTTTGAATTGGCTAAATATAGGACCCTGGGCTTGGCAGCGCGATAGGGACCACAGAGGCTTAGCATAATGAGTGCCTTTAGCTTTTTGACTTCAGTAAAGTATCTTTTTCTGTACCAGAGCTGTGTAGATGTGGTGTTGGTCACACTGATACCCCCTTCTACTTTCTTTGTCTTTGTCCCTTTCAGTCTCATGACAGGACAACAATACGAGCTTTTATTGGCCCACTCAGCGGAGTCGACTTAGACAAACATTTTGCTTGTGTGTGCGACACACAGAGAGAAAGTGAATTAGAAGAAGAGGAGATGAGCTGCTGGACGGCTACACACAGATTCAGGACTGTGCTGTTGTTCTTGCACAGAAACCAAGAGTGGCTTCATTCACTTCTCACTACAAAACCGCTGCCTTTAAATTGAACTCATGAGGTTGTAATTTCAACAGGGGGAAGCTGAGTACCTTGAGCGTTTACTGATGAAAGAGCACTTTAACTCGGCAAGAAATGGGGAAACACTGGTCATTGGGCCGTGTATTTTTAAAGATTGGTCTACGGAGGGAAATACTTTTTGAGGAGTTTCTGCTCCACAACACCACAAGTGGCCACTGGGTCAGTCAGCAGTATGAGGGAGGATGCCATCCCCCTTGTTAACCTGCCCTCCAGAGTGACATATTGGCTGGAAGTCTGAGGGGCAGCTTAATACATCCATCCTGCTACTTTCTCTAATCATAAGTCTACAGCACAAGCTTGTTCATCTTTGGATATCACAACATGCCAGAGCTGCTCTCAGTTTTCTGTAGCAGTAGTTTCAGGTCTTGTCCACACTAATGTTGGATATTGAGGACGGTATGTTGTAGATGCGTCCACTCAGGACAGCTAGAGTGGCTTCTTCATCTACGGAGGACTCCGGTCAGAGAGGGACACACTGGACTTTTTCTAGACCTTTTTCTAGATCCATCCCTCCTCTCTTTAAAAAATACTATTTCTGTCGTAACAACCATCATTTTACAAAATATCTCCACACATATGAAAATGGTAAACGCTACTACAAACTCAAGGCTGTAACGGACATGTGAACCAGTCTACTTTAAGGACATGTGAACAACAACTTACTGTCATTTTGCCATTTGTGCAAATTTAGTCTCACAAAGTCTGCTGCAGGTCATTATCATTCTGCTATATGAGGAACATAACCCACTCTGGCTTCTTCTGTATTCGAGCTACATCAAGGATGTCAAAGAATTTCTTAATTTCTTTTCAAAAATCCATGTTATTGTGGACAAGGCCTAAGAAAACAGAGGGTGGTGTCTTTCATTTAGCTTGTCCATACAAGACACACAAGCAAAAGTTTTCAAAAAGTGCTTCAAAGTAAACTATAAATATTAGCATGGCTGGCTAAATAGCGTATCACCTGGTTAAAGACGCAAAGCTAATGTTGCATTCCCTCAAAGTCGAAGCTAAATACCGTTAGCTAGCAAAATTCTTTTAGGGTGGTGGTAGGTCATGTAGTTTTGCCGTACTCTGTGTATTGTATATGTTGTGTTCCTTGTTGGATTTGGTCAGATTAAGGGTTAAGGATGCTCAGTCGAACTCATACATAAAGGCTTTATGTTTGCTAAATGTATTGGTTAGGCCTCTCTAAAAGCCTTGTCATTGTTAAATGATGGGCATAGACTGTATATAGAAGATGGACATAGCCTCTGGATCTGAAAAAATAGAAATGCCTTCAACCTGCATTCTGTCTAAAGGCCAGCAGGGTTTGACTCCTCTGGCTGAAACAGAAGTCTGTTTGTATAGAAGTCTATTAGAAAATGACGCTATTTCTCACTTGATTTGCTTCCTCGGTAGACATTTTACCAGTTAGTTTATGGTCTCAATTGGTAGTTTCAAGACTTGTGGATTACAGCATGGTGTTAACTTAGTCAATCATGGTGCCAAATAGAGGAAAATACATATTAAAACATGTTTTAGGACTGGGCCACGTTGGTCGCTGCCATATATCCATGCATAGTGTCTTCAGGTTCTCCAGTCAGATTCACAGCTCGTGGCATCCAGTTTGAAAAGATCGATAAATCAAATGTCAAACTGGAGGCTTAACAATAGTAGTCCATGAACCAATGGTCGCATTGGCTACGTCCATCTTTTATTTACAGTCTGTGATCACAAGCGATTCAAAATTGGAATAGTAAAGCTTTAATTCAATGCCGACTTTAAGCTTAAGACAAATTTTCAGCCAGCTACTAGAGTTAACGCTACTTAACATCTCCAGATGATAAAATCTGTGTTGGTCGGCTGTCATTTCACCCAACAAAATTGGCGGTTTCTGGCTCATAATGTGACGCCTCTGGTTTAGATCAGGAAATCGCTCATCAACTCATCAAAACTTAAGAATTTTAAGTGGTAAACTTCATGTGCTGCTAATTTTCACCCTTAGCATTTCATTTTTTATTTACTTTCTGCGTAATTCCTTTTGGTTTCAGCTCAGCAGCAGTACAGAAGTCCCCATCGTAAATATTAAACCTGAGGACAAGTGTGTTGTCACTTTCTCACCGGGCCCCCCCTGTGCTCCTCTGCTCCGAGAGCCATTATGTAACCACAGTATTTAGAGTTTGTACAGCAGGAATGGTGATGCAGCTGTAAATGAATGTGGACTGTGCCGAGTGACTGATGGAAGTGTTTGGTCAGTTTCTGTCTCGAGGTCCATGTAAGGCTTGTTGCTAAGAGCTCAGCCCCCTTCAAACAGGAGGGGAAGGAGAGAATGTGGCGAAGGGAGGAAGAAGAAGAAGAAGAAGAGCTGGAAGACGAGAGGAACCCCCAAACCCGAAAGAATGGCTTCTCAGTCGCCGCAAAACCTCAGTGCTGAAAAACATTCTGGAGCTATTTGGACAGTAATGCAATTTTCAACAGTAATTTTAAAGTTGGACTCGACTTTTTATTTCAGCATGGTTGTTTAAGAGTTCATTTAGTTTAGAAATATAGAACTGATCAGAGATTTTGTGGAGAAAAAAAACACACAAAGTACCAGTTCAGTCGAGTGTTTTCTACAGCGGACGAGAATTTAAAGAATGACAACGTACGGTTTCAACAAATTCTTAAGTTTGAGTGATTTTTCCAGGAAGCTAATCAAGCTTTCGCCCTCATAAGAACCTAATCATAGCCAGTTACTCACCACGTTGGTTTATCTTGTTCTGCTGGATTACTACGGTCCAGATTAAAGCAGTCAGGCGTGTTCGACAAAGACGTTTCTCGCTTATCTGGGACTCTGGATTGCTTTACAACCAGTCATCTCCGGTTTTGTTTCAGGCGAACTGTAGCTGCGTGCAAACACTCCAGCACTGTGGTGTTTCCCATTTTCCTGCTTTTTAATTGCAGGTTTAACTTGGCACACGTTGAGCTCCAAATCAAACCGCATTTTGTTTCAAGCAGCATTTGAAGGAGGGGTTTTCAAGTCTCCCGGTTCATTATAAACCAAGTTTCTCGCAGTGTTTGATGTTTTGTCGGTGCCGATGCGCTGTGATGTGAACGAGCAGGGATGTGCTGCATCATATTATATGTTAGAGGTCATTGTAGTTCACTGGCACGTTGGGTTGGCTGATGGGATTAAGTTGTGACTGCTTGATTGCTTAATGCAATGCTGGGAATTTCAAGGTTCATGTATCAGGGCAAAGCAGGTTTCATATTTTCTCTGTTGTCATGTTTCCCATCTTCAAACAGCCTGTTGTGGCTCCTAGAGAACACCTCACCACAACGTCTTTATCAGTAAATTAAGCAACGTGCTGGAAACCAAACAAGATACAGTTTAAATGTGAATTTGCACTGNTGGATATTGAGGACGGTATGTTGTAGATGCGTCCACTCAGGACAGCTAGAGTGGCTTCTTCATCTACGGAGGACTCCGGTCAGAGAGGGACACACTGGACTTTTTCTAGACCTTTTTCTAGATCCATCCCTCCTCTCTTTAAAAAATACTATTTCTGTCGTAACAACCATCATTTTACAAAATATCTCCACACATATGAAAATGGTAAACGCTACTACAAACTCAAGGCTGTAACGGACATGTGAACCAGTCTACTTTAAGGACATGTGAACAACAACTTACTGTCATTTTGCCATTTGTGCAAATTTAGTCTCACAAAGTCTGCTGCAGGTCATTATCATTCTGCTATATGAGGAACATAACCCACTCTGGCTTCTTCTGTATTCGAGCTACATCAAGGATGTCAAAGAATTTCTTAATTTCTTTTCAAAAATCCATGTTATTGTGGACAAGGCCTAAGAAAACAGAGGGTGGTGTCTTTCATTTAGCTTGTCCATACAAGACACACAAGCAAAAGTTTTCAAAAAGTGCTTCAAAGTAAACTA